TGGCTGTGGGATTGCAATCACAACATTGTAAATATCTGAAAGAACATTGTAAATGGGATGTAAATGGGATGCTGGAATGCGCTGTAAGTTGACACATTCCAACAATTATATATTTAACGCATAATGACTTGGCAATCATTTATTAATGACGTGAGGCGAAATGAGCCAAATCACAACAAATGGAAAGTTCTGTGTTTGCTCAGCATCAGGAGTTTGTTACTCTACAGTCATTCTCTCTGACTCAGGTGTGAACTCTGCCTGACCTCTTCACTACAAAAGGGAGGGAAAGGGACAGCTGTTTCTAATAATGTGATAACTCTTTTAATGTTTTACACCATGCTCAGGTAGCTTTACAGTTCATTTTAAAACATGGGGGCGGGACAACTCTTATGGGAAAGGTTGTTTTCTTTGGAGAATGGACAGCATGAGGGCACAGAAGGACACAGGGAAGTCCCATGAGAGAAGGGTCTAGTGGGATTTGGTCCAACACCTCCCTGAACTATATGTGGCTCCACAGATGCTGGTTTAAACCACTACATCATGTCTGAGCACTGACGGCTATCTTAGACACTGTGAGAGTGTGTGTCTCCTTATCATCTCAAATGTCAAAGTGGGCTTTAGTGGATCTCCAGAGGCATGTGGATCTTTGCCGAGGCACGAGCTGCAACGTTAAGCATCTTAACATGTGATGGTGATGTCTTGTTGCTGTTGGGGCTGCATCAAAGATAAAAAGAAACCCCCCTCTTTCCCCCTAAGAAAGTCTTTCCAGTTGGGTGGTTGCCCTTTAGGCTACGACTAGAGAAGGCCAAGTATTGTTTGGAGATGTGATTCGACACTTCCAAGCACTTTCTGTAGATTGATTTTTTTCATGAAGAGTCTTGCTCTGCTGTATGCCAAAGTGTCAGGTTTTAGTGGGTTGTAGTTTTTTCACTTTCTGTGATGGTTCTCATTTATCTGGGGCGCATACATCATTGCATACCTTGGACGGCCGTTCTGTTGTTGCTGAAACTCAACTCTGCTACACACAAACCTGTCTCATTATTATGACAAAAGTAATCTGTCAGTGAGATTAGCTGACCAGTGGACTGGCTTTGTAGTTGTTTTAGCTGGCAGACCCTCATCATTTAACCGAAAAAGAGTCTTCTTGGCATCCAACTTCATATTAGGTTGACTTTTATTTCCTCTGTTGGAGATAGATTTGAATGTTATTGCTTAAAGTAAAGTATTACAATTCAGATTTGACTATAAATCATTAAACATCCATCCTCATATATTTCTGCTATCATCTCATCAAAAAGCATCCATATCTACCCAAAAATCATTGAACCTTTATCATAATGGGTTGAACTGAGATATCATGAAAATAGAAAAGATCCAGAAAGTGGAAAACACCCACTTTTGGAAACACTGTGTAAAAAAAACACTTCAAAAGTCATAATTCAGAACGAAAACAAAGGAGAGCGTTTGCTTATCCGCCTGACGATTTTCCAGACAAACAATGCAGTTGATTGTTCGATCATCAGGTTCATGATGAGCAGTGTATGAATGGGTTTTAATGCTGACTTCCGTTGTCAAAGCGTTTTGAGACTCAAAGACTAGAGAAGCGATACATAAAAGCAGGCTCTTTACCGTTTACTATCGATGAGTAAAGTCACAAGATTTGTCGCTATGCGCTTTGTTGAAGAAAAACAAAACATCTCTAAAAGAGGCATAAAAAGCTGTATGAAAAAAGAAAAATAAGTGTGTTTTATAAACAGTATTTATTTCTTCTACCTCTGCAAAAAATGAAAATATCTCATTTAATATAATTAGCGCAGTTTTTATTTGTATCGAATAAGGGGGAATTCATGGTGCAAAGCGTGGGCCTTATTGTAAATTCATTTCTTAGATCTGTGGCACAATAAGGGTGATTGGCTGACTAAGGTGGGCGTGTTAAAAAAAGTATTCTAGCAACAATCAAGCCAAACAAAGTAAGTAACCCATCACAACAGCAGAGTCAACAGCTAAGAAAGATGTTTCATTAAATACATGCATCCATTTATTCCATAGATACTCCCAACAATGATTTCTTTCTCCTTTGAAAATGAATGAAAAACCCTGCTAATCGCTGCTTTATAACTAAGTGAGGAGATAACACATTTGAATTAGACTTTAAAAGACAATACCAAACAAAGTAAAGAGCTCTGGAGTATGCTCTTTGTGTGTGAAAATGAAACTTGCAAGCTGTTTGTGGCGAAGAGATAATCATCAGCAAACATCACGTTCCAACACACAACAATGAATCCAAACAAGCTTTCGTCGCAACACGAGAAGTCTGTAGCAGCCAGTGAGGTATTACCTTTACACATAGGCAAATGTCTTGCTTCATGTTGCAAATGGACTGACCAATATGTAAAACACCAACCTCTCAGTTTCCAAGCATTGTTTTAACTAGCCGGCTATCTGCGTGACAGACACAGGAAAAGGCAAATAAGGACTCAAAGCAGGAAAAACATGCCCGGCTACTGGCTCACACAGGTGTATGTTTGTGGTTTACAGCAGCAGAACAAACATTATCATGCTGTTTAGAATCATTATGGGCAATATTAATCATGCATTATAACAACCTCTACTCAGTGGTGAAATGTTATGAAGTACATTTACTCAAATGCTCTGCCTACAGTAAGTACCATTTTGAGTGTTTCTACATTATGCTACCACAGGATTTGTATCTTAAAAACCTGGAATCTTTATACTTCTACATTTTGGAAGTCAATATTGTAGTTTTAGTTTTTTGTTAGTTTTACTCCACTACATTTATTTGACAGACATATATGTTACTATATATTGATATAATACATTAAACAAAAAATAAATCAATAAACATTTAATTATAGATTAAGATATCCATTAGCAGTATACACATTCATTCAAATGTGCTATATCTCAACCATGACCAGCTGTGATGAACAAATTAATCCATAGATAATCACAATCCCGTAATTTAATATTGGCCATGAAGGACTTTTACTTTTAAGAGTTTTTAACTTTTGACAGTATTTTTTCATTTTGTTATTGCTTATTTTACTTTATTTGTGGTTCTATAACTGTCTTATTTTCCTTGAAAATCAATGTTTCATTTACTGAGTGTAAAATGTGTATGCCTGGCAACGTAGAAAGACACAAAGTGAAGACGGAGAGCAGTTGGAAAGCTTGAACTCTCCTTAAACTCCCCGCTTTTCACGAAGGTGTTAGCACTTATTTAATAAGCACAGTCTGTTTGGGAAGTTTAGTTTCCTCTACAGCGGGTAGTTGTGTGTGTGTGTGTGTGTGTGTGTGTGTGTGTGTGTGTGTGTGTGTGTGTGTTTTCACAGTAAATGCATGCCCTCAGCAAGGCAAACAAGCATTAGAAGCTTACATAAACAGCCAGAACGTGAGTCACGATGGCCATTCATTTTTAAATGCAGCCGTAACGAGTACGTGCTGTGACAGTGCTGCTCAGGGACCATGATGCAACAGGAGGGCCCCACCGAGCGGTCGAGCAGCTGGGTCTTATCTTATCCTTAAAAACATCTAGTATGCAGCCAGTAGACCAGTTTACGACTTGTGTACCTTACAAGTCTCACAGATAATTAGCATTTTAAATATTTCCAGCAAATTCATTTTGGAATAATCTCAGTCTTCATTATTGATTGAGCGCAAAATCTTACTGTGCGTCAATTCCTGAGTAAATAAATCAAGACGCAATGACAGTCTGGCAAGGCAGGTGTTCCGCCATTATAGTGGTTTCTCCTTTCTTTTCCCCCACTCAGGCCGGCCATGCTCGGCCTTTAAAGAGAACAAATCCTACATTCTGACAGTTGATATACATTCCCTTTAACTCCTTTACAACTTGTGGCAAAAAAATCCTCTTTAACGGACTCAAACGTTTCAAAAGTGTAAACATGCACACAATACACAAAACGACCTTTTTCTTTACGCTACCCTTGGTTACGTGTAGGTAATGTTTCCATCTTGCGAATAATTCTTACAATATGAAACCAACATTGCCATTATGTGTAATCCATAGGATTTTAACGACAAAATGTTTCCTGTTCACTGTATGCTTTTTACATGTTCATCATGTCGTTATGGAAAAATACAACTATATATATATATATATATATATGTAAAAAAGGATTTGCCAATTTGTATTAATATGTATTCTATTTTTAACATTTGGTATGTTCTACTGACCTCCATTGAAGTTTCGGCTTGTTTTTCAATGTTTTCGGAGGTTTAAGCAAAGGCCAAGGGAACAGATCAAAAGTCCCGGGGCGGATACAAGCATTATCTTTCCCTTGGTGGAGGTCTGTGCTCTCCCAGTGCCTTTCTAGTTTGTAATTGCCTTTATACAATATAAGGACTAAATTGTCCCACAGGGATTCAATCCGTATTACTACATTAAGTCTTCATTGTCTCATGAGGTCCTTATGTTCGGTACCATGTAAGTCGGCATGAAATGACTTCATGGCTTCAGTTGTTACAGAGACATTCCTGTTTTGTCTCTTCTGCTTCTTCAATGTTAAAGCTACTCTTGGAGCGTTTTGTTTCGAATATAATTAAGCATGAATGTGTTTCCTTGAATTAAGAAAATGCAAACAAAAGTACTTTTTTCTCTTCTCTTTTTCTCCTCTGGGGTCCTGGGGTCTCAATTCCCCAATTATAAATCAGTCAAATATCTTTCAATTTCTTGAGTATTAATGCAGAACATGTGATGAATATTTGGGATTAGGAACTGATCTGGCACTCAAAACACTTCTTTAACTGACTGTAACAGCATAAAGGGTTAAATAGATCACAGCGAAGTGGAAATGGAAAGTTCACATTTTCTCTCCAAACACGGACTTAACATAAATAACACTGTAAAGGGGGGGGGGGGGGGCTTTTTTCAGGTCCACGCTCTCCAATGGCAACACGAGCACTGGCATTATGACATGAGATGGAGAAAACCTTTTGAACTAAAGGCCACTGGCGCTCACCTCTACAATGTCGCAGTTGGTTCTGCTCTCGTGGGGTTCGTTGTACTCGGTGTATTTCAGCAGGACCTTGTCCATGTCGGTGCTGGCATACTGGAACAGCTTGTTGGAGCTGTTGAAGATAATGAGGGCGATTTCGCAGTCACACAGAACGCTCAGCTCATAGGCCTTCTTCATCAGACCAAACTTCCTCTTCATGAAAGTCACCTGGAAGGATACAAATCAAGGATCAACCTATTTTGTTTATCCAAAATCCACTCTCCACACACACTCAATCCCATTTTTTTGATAAACGTTTTGTCTTCTTTAAATGCATTTGTATTTTATCTTAAGGAACTCTGTGTTAGGTTAAGGTTAAAAATAAATAAATAAGTTAAGAGAAAATAGATACATCAACCCTGTTAAGAACCTTAATTATCATATCTAACCAGATGGTAATTTATTATATTTTGGTTTGTATACGTCACATATTTTTCCAATCTATAATCAAAGATATTAACTTGATTTCTTATTCTCATGGTTATTTTTTCCATTTCATATGTATTTATAAGTAATTTTTTGTAACAAGTGTCAATGCATACCCTCAATCACAGTAAACATTCCCCACATTCGAAAGCTGCTCTAACCAAGACAATATAATGTCTGATAATGAGCTAACACACTATTAGCAGAAGACGCCAAAATACAAAGTCAGTAAATGACATAACCTTGTATTGTAGAGAGATAAAAGTGAGTCAAAATGTCTCTTTGTCACAGGAGGAGGAGGAGGAGGAGTTGACTAAAACAGGGTGGCAATAACCTCAAATCTGGCTTTTACTGGAATGCCACTGATTGAGTGGGTGGGGTCAGCAACTGAGTCATGTTTCCCATCCTGTAATGATTAAGTGTTCAGCCTTTATCTTATCATATTTACTTAAGTCCAACTCCTCAGTTAGGCATAAAGGATTGTTTTGATAATCATTTAATCTCTTTTTTATAGTGTTAACTTTAACACTATTATTTTTATTTTATCCTTTTGCAATGTCCACTGTCATTTTATTTTGCAATTAGACGCAGAAAACTTCAACCTGATTTTCAGTAAAGATTTATATTAGTCTATAAGTGTGGCCGTTTTAGTTTTATCTAATTTAGTCAAATGAAATTGCAACTATTTAAGTATGGTTTTTAACATTTTAGTTTGTCTAATCTTCCAAATATCACCTAGCTCTTTTCTCCCAAGCTCTGTTGATGTAGTCACATGTCGTGTTCAGTGACGTCTGTCGAACATATCAGCTCACTGCCTGCATTGAGTCAACTGTGTTTATCTGTGTTTGTCTTCCTTCCATCATGGCCTCTGTGAGTATGACAACATGTCATCACATATATAGAAGCTGCCTTCACACCTCAACATCTCCAACCATGCAAAGTATCAGGTGTATTGGTCATTGCTGCTCCTGGATTTTGGCCATTCACAACACAGCTGACCTTAGTTGTTGAGCAGCTTTACTACAGCCTTAAATAGTTCAGGCACTTGAAACTGTTGATGAAGAAGAGTCCTGCTTCTTTAATATTACCAACAAGAAATATAAATACAAACAGTCAAATACAATGAAACTTTAGCACTGACAAATGGATCAGAGCACAGTCATTTGGGTTCTAATCAGACTTAAACTCTAACTACAGTTAATTGATAAAAAGCTTCACCCTTAAACCAGGGGTGTCAAGTGCAAGGCCCCAGGGCCCGCGACTTCATTTCATGTGGCCCCACAAGAGCTTGCAAAGAATATAATATGTTTATTATACGGTTACATGCTGATTTACAGAAGCACGTTGTCCATAAACTACATGTCCCACAATGCATCTCAAATTTAACTTTTTTCTCAGAATTTGCCTTTTTTTCAAAATGTTACTTTTTTTTCCAGAATTTGGCTTTTCTTTTTAAATCATTTTGTGACATTCTCCCTGAAAAGACTTGCAATTATTTGCCCTAGACTTCTTCTTTCAGACGTAGTTAATTATGAAGTTATTACCCTATCCGAAAATAATCCAATGCAGAGGCAATAATGTAATATAATACGTTATTTTATATATATTAAATATTTATATATGTATTTTTATATAGTCTTAAAGTTACAACCGGCCCTTTGAATGCAACCATAATGTTAATGTGGCCCGCGATGAAATTGAGTTTGACACCCCTGCCTTAAACTTTCAATATCCCCAAAGGTTTCAGGTGGCGTTTCAGTTTCCTGTTTGATAATTTAATCTGTTTTAACCCAGTATTCCCGTACAATTGCAGATCATTTTGTAGAATTAGATTCAGTGGTGGCTGTAGGATTGAGGGCTTTCATTTGTTTAAAAACATTCAACGATTGCTCTACAGCATTCGAAGTCCAAGTGACATGCAAAAATATATTTTTTTGTCAAACCAAATGTGTGGGCTTCAGCCTTTCAAAAACAACACTTTCACAATGGTAAAAAAACAATGCCATCCTGATTGCTGCACACAAAAGTGAGGCAACACTGAATAATGATATTCATTAAAGGGAGTGTACTTAATAAAAAAGGATCCTTTCATTAAAATGTAGGATTTACTAAAAATGTTTAGGGCTAGGGTTAGGTTACATTTGGAAAACCCTCCACAGAAGACAATGGGATCTCTTCAAACTGACATTTGCAGTGGCGTTTCAAGCAGAGATATTGAATATGTTCAGAATAACTACTAAACCTCTCCAACACTGTTCTCCTCCTCTCACATCCTTTAAAAACCAGAGACACATTTCTCTATATTGCATTTTACATCGTATCAATTTCCATTGCACCTCCTCACCTTCACTGGGAATTCCCTAGTCCACAAATATCCTGTCAACCTGCTGTAACTCCTGAGCGCTGCCCTACTTGTAAGAATGAATTCGACCTTGACAGAGTGGAAACTGAAACCTTAATGAGTCAGTAGATTGGGTTAAATGTGGGGAACCTGGTGACTTACAGCTCTCCACTTCCAGTCTAACTTGGAGGCTTTTAATCAGGGAACTGAGGGGAGTAGTGGCTTTTTTATATTTTATAGCAGAGGAAGCCACATACAGAAAGGAATGTGCCGCTGATAAGTGATGTAGTCTTCTATTGGGTCGTAAAAGTATATTTTCTTTAAACATTTTCCCTAGTGGGTGATATAATGTCATATTAGTCTCCTTTGCAGTTTAATGTTCTGACTGCATCAGATGGCCAACCAAGCTCATGTTCAACAAGCTGAACATTTGCACCAATGCCAGAAGCATTTGCATCATTAGTAATGACTGAATAAATGCTGCATCTCATTAAAGTAAATTAGATTAGATAATGTTGTCAAATGGACGCTAAAGTTCTCTGACGATTCCAAAGGCAGTTCAAGTTGTATTTTTTTCCTGATGTTAAACAATGTTAGATGATAATGGTTATTACTTGAGCATGACTTGCAAACAGATTTCTATGAAAAGAGATAACAAAGAAGTACTTTGTTCCTCTTTTAGAATCTACGTATAACTGCTGATGGTTGGTGTATCGCTGGTTCATCTTCTTACTGTTATCATTATCTATTCAGCATGTTGTGTAATGGTGTGATCGTTTGAAAAAAAAGAGGAAAACCAGCTTGAAGCCCTTGATGCTCTTGCAAGATAAAACGAGACACATAAGCCAACTTCCCAAAAATAGAGTAGAAGAAGCTAAATATATAGAAGTCTCCAGCGATGCACACTCGACAGCTAAAGCAGTGTCTATCTAAAAAGGCTCTTGCCAAGACATCCAAACATCAAATATACACATCATCCCAGATATTTATTTTCCAGCCACATCCCTATTTCCAGAGCCTGCGCCTTGCCTCCAGACAGGCCGGTATGTGTTGTGCTGTTGGGGGTGATATATATAGAGGAGACAGACAGAAAGAGATTCCAGTGGGCAGCAGTGTGGCTGCGCGAGGAGACGGTGAGGAGAGAAGGCCACTGTGTGTCCCTAACCCTGACCCACCCTGCTAATGACAGGGTGCTGTCCGGACCCAGCTAACCCCAAATTACTGCCCTCGCCACCAGCTGTGACCGCTGCACTCTCCATAAGCAGAAACTCCTTACAGGGATCTTTGATTGCTCTTTCGATTGAAACCGAATGGGACCCAAAGAACGTACCTTGAGGGATCCCTTTGAGAAATTTTAATGAAGCTGTCAATACTTTCACATGCATTTAACATGTGTTACTTCAATATAAACTCAATGGGGCTTAATTTAATATGTAAACGTTTGGATATTTTAAAATGTAGCTCCATTTTTTGGAGAGTGGGATTTTGGCGTGATTCAGAGCAGCACATCAACACATCACATCCCATGAAAGCAAACCAAAGCTACTTCTACATAATGTTTACCAAAGCATAAATATACCCTGTGTTTCAGTATGGATGTTTGTTGTGATAGAGAAGATTTAATGTTAGACAGAGTAGTCTCCAAAAGAAGGAGCCTACAGATTATAGATTTTTATGTGTAAACAACGTCTGTTACCCTCAGGTTTTTGTTGCCAAAAACAAAAAAGGCAACATTCTTCTATAGAGGATGCACTTTTATTTGGTGACCGCCCTCCTTAAAATGCTTATTTGTTAACCTTGTTTCCATGTTTTTGTGTCTAAGTTACAAATGGGGACAACACTTTTTGAAATGAGTCAAGTACTGCAGCAGCCCATATTTCTGTTGGGCCCCATTCACTTATGATACTCATCAGAGAATGTCAGATTTAAAGACAAGCACTTTTATTGGATGTGCATCTGTGTGTAAATGAAGGGTTGACCAGCTGTCTTGCTCTCGTTAAATACTTGAGCAATTTCAATAAAATGTGTCCCTATTAATAACTTAAACATAAAAACAAGGAAGAAATTACGTTTTTTGAGGTTAAAAAATAAAGCAACCTCAAATGACCCCCTCTTTAGCCATTACAATGGTATAGCAATTCAACAGTACTTCTCAAGTTATGCTGTACAGTAAAGGGCTTCGAATAAGTATACAATTAAATGGTTAAAAATTTGAAATGAGACAACAAAGGCAGAGGACACTGACCTGTCTGTTCCTTTCATCCACGATCCGGGCGATCTGGATCTTCCTCCTCCCCATTGTCAAAACGAATTCCTCCAACAGCCAAAGAAGAATATGAGAGGGCTCCAGGTAGTTAAGACTTCAACAGGCAGTCCTCAACACATAGTTCCACTGGCAGCTGGGTTACTCCAGTATCAGTTTGGCATGGCTTACTGAAAAATACCAAGATAAAGACAGGGTCAACAATCAGTAAATATACATTTAATGTATTGCATAAAACAAAGATTGAATGTTTACAAGAGCATTACTTTACAAAACGTCATAGATTCCTTGCACCAAGACAGAAGGCAAAATCAAAAAATCCAAGTTGGCAGACCATCATTGAACTCTGAGATGGTCTTGGCATCAGATAATATGTACCTTATATGACGGATTAAGAAATACATCTATACAGTATTTACTCACTCACTCTAGTTTTGAACAATTCTATACAAATTTTACCATTCAACCAACCACCTCTAACACAGTCTGTATGTGTCAACTTGGCACAACCACAATGATCATTCTTGCAATGAGTCTTCAGGCTTTCCTTTCATAATTTGGGTTCCTGGAAGGATGAACATCAATGAGTATCACCAGAAGTGCACGAAGACCCACTACCATCCAGAGGAACTAGCTAGTCTAGTGACAAGGACATGATCACTCCCACCTTCAAACTCCTAACCAGGACAAAGACAATGGTACCGGTGACTAAACCAGCATTTCTGTCACAACGAGAAAGCTATTTCGTCCTCCAACATCTCTCCCAAAGTCATTTATGTCTCAGAAGACTTTTGCTTTGGAATTTAATCTATGACCAATGGATGAACAATACACACACCAAGAAGGACTCAAGTAACTGATAAATCTTCATCACACACCTTGTTTAGCTGGCACCAAACTCCCTTTCACCGCTGCAGTCCTTCACTTGCACCAACGTGACAATTCAGCCCAGAGGTCTTGAGTGAACTCACCCCTGCTCTCCTCCTGCAGGAGTGGCCACCTGCCTCCTTGTCTCCCTTCTTCTCCTCAGCCTCAGCCCTCCTTTCTGAGCCCTGCCCTCCCCCAGAGTTCCTTCGCTCTTCTTCTAATCTCATCTGATCTGGGAGGAGGCAGAGAGTGAGGCGAAGCCAGGCTTTATCCTAACCCTCTCTGGATTACTGCAGCCTGTGAATCCCAGAGCTGAGCCACCATCACCCCACACTGCACACCCAGTTCATAGGGCTGGGAGAAATACATTTGTCATTCGCCAGTGGAAATGTACTTGTGATTACTTACTGATTCAAATGACATCTTTGCTCAAATCTAATACAAATGAAGTGCCAGTCTCCTTAATCAATGCCCCATACAATGGATAAATGAGAAGGAATAAGATGAAATAGAAAATCCTATGTTGATTTGAAATGCATTTAACATCTAGTGGTTTTATGGTATTGTGGTCTTCTACATTTTAGTGATTGCTTTCTCAGTCACTATTGAATTTCATATATTTCTGTCCTCAAACATTTAGGAGCTAGGTTTTATATAATGGCAATTGGTTTACAATGAGATGCACGCTCTCCTATAACCAGGGGTGCACATAACTGGTACGCAGGTAGGCATGCGCGGCAACAATCTGAAATGCGTACCGTCACTTGTGAAGCTTTTCCAGAAGGCGGTTAGATCACCAGACGACAGAGTTGGTCTCCGTGTGCACAGACAGAGCTGCTGTTAACGTCGGTTTGTACAACGGAATTGTGCCAAAACTACGACAACCGGCTGCGGAGGGAGACTCCCCCCCCTTCGCTGGAGAACTGCGCTAAAACAGCTGATCATAGCGTTCACGATCTTTTTGACAATCAAGATGATTTGATGGCAATACACAAACATAAAAAATAAATAAAAAAAGGTCTTATCTCATCTCACCTGTGCTGCTATTCCATGAAAAAAGAGACTTTTATTTTAGCACGTTGTTACAGTTACAGGTACGGATTCAGTAATATTTTTGTAGCAGTGTTACGTTACTCCATAGGGCTCTAGAAGAATACTTGAAAAGCAGGAGGGGTTTCTAGGACTTCTGCAACATACACAGGAATGCAATAATTGGGTTATATTTGTCATGTGTTGATCTGCATAAGACACAATGCACTGGCTTCAGCAGTAATTGGTTAGAGACAATTTTGAATTACAGTTATTAAACTTTGGTAATTATTATAAAACACTTATTAATGCCTTATTCTACATGACCATATTCTACAAGTAATAAGCCATTAGTTGAGAGTTTTTCCTCTGTTCTGTGTGACACAAAAAAAATGCGAAAATCGTGTTGGTGAACACGAATCAATAGATTAAATTAATTTTGTGACTATAACACGAAATGCCGTGAGACTGGGTTGGTTATTCAGACACAATTAACACTTATAGTTTCATGTCTTATGAAATAAATAGGAATAGATCATATTTGTTAAATTTTATTATGGGAGAATTACTATTCTTGTGGTACTACTGCTTTATTAGTCCCATATTGAGCAGAGCAGATTAAGACCAAAACTCATGTACAACAACTTCCTTACTTGCAACTAATTAGAGGGTTATTGAGGGAAAACTCTCAACTAATGGCTTATTACTTATAGAATATGGTCATGTAGAATAAAGCATTAACAAGTGTTTTATAATGACTAATAAAGAACCAATATACTGCTAATATGCATGTTAATTAACAACTAGTTGATGGTGAATTTGTGTACCTTAATATAAAGTGTTACCTAAACTTCTTTTAAACTAATCTCTTGTCTGCCAGGATTGAAAAACTGAAACTGGGACAGACACTACTGCGTCCAATGCCAGTGTTAAAAAAGACAGCTACTACGGATTATCCGACAATTTAAAATGCCAAAATCAAATTTCTAATTTTCCTCTACGATCATATGCAACCATGTCTAACAATTACGTTCCCACAGAACTAAACTGCATTCTCAATTACGTTTAGCAAGAAACGTATTTTCTCCCACGTTACGTTAGTTATGAACGTATCTCAAATACGTTTATTTTCTACATATCTTCTAGAAACATATTTTCTCACACGTTACGTGTGTTATGAACGTATATTAAATACGTTTATTTTCTACATATCTTTGCCATTTATTGTCTTGCTTATAATAATGATAATAGTCATTTATAAATATCATTTTAGAGCACACATTTGAAATCGAGAATCGGGCTCGATATATGGTTAAATTAAAATCATTAGGCGAGGCTGTAATTTCGCCAGCTGTTACTCTCATGAGGCAGAAAATAATAGTTTTAACATGCCAAAAAGCTGCTGTATCACCTCAAACATTAAAACAGATCCAGAGTTACGTGTTTCTGTACTTCCTCTAAGAAGAAAGGACAGTAAAAGAAGATCTCTGTGGCTTCAGGCTTGATCGCCGTTCAAATGACAGCGTTGGTTTCCCCAAAAGTGGGCGGGGCTGTAAAGTGACGTAGATTTTACCCTCATCTATTATTCAAAACCATTCTATTTATTCTAACGTAAATTACATGCCAGTGTTTTATCTTTTTATTACTTATATTTGTATACTCTATTTGCTATGAGTTATATCTGAAGCAAATTATGTTTCTGAAGATGTGTAGTCAATTCCACCCTTCAATGTAGCATAAATGTGAACTCTCATTAAAGGAACAATACCGGAAACAGACGTAGGAAAGATCCTCAGCTCGCTGATTGGATATTTTAGCCACGATCTGTCTGTATTGTATTTTGTCTTGTCTTTTGTTTCATGTTTTATTTTGAAAGGTCTTCACCTCCTGTCTTGCCTGTTTCTGTCTGGCTGGTGTCTTGTCCGCAGAATCAGTACTTTGGTTTTGCTGTCCTGGGCGCTTATGTCTACGGTGTGTGAAGGGAAGCAGGACGCCAAAGCAGAATATAAACTGAAAAAACTCCTTTATTTCACGGGCTATTGAATATAACACAATGACCAAACAGAACACTCCCGCGCAGAAATAGTCGATGGCACAAGACGAACCGAGCCAAGACAGAAAGAAAAAACAGAACTTCAAAATACACACAAGACTAATGCATACAAACAAGAACACAGCTGAGGAGGGAGGAGAAAACACACAAACACTAGGGCAAGCCAGGGGTGGGTGGAGGGGGTCAGGAGGACGGGTTTTGGGCTGACAACCCCAGGAGCCACGGCAGAGGACAGGGAAAAGGATCTCGGTGGAGCGACAGCGGTGGCATAGGCAGGAGAGCCGAAGAAGCGGGGGTCTCCGGGCGGACGACCCGGGGGCAGGCAGAGTCAAGGATGGGGTCATTGGGTGGACGGGCCCCGGGGGGCAAGGCAGCAGTCGCATGGGGAAGAGTCGGGGGCAGGCCCGAGGGCCGAAGAGC